GGCGGGGGGATGGGTGGGCCGCTCGCCCCGCCCGGCGGGAAGGGAGGAGTCCCGGGACCCCCTTGTCGTTGTCGTGTCCCCCCGCCGCCATAGACCTGTGCGGTTTGTTTCCCCGCTTTACTCCGCAGGGAAACTCCCGCCCCCCGTTATCTACGCGGGAAGTTTGTACCAATTCTCCAGCTTCCAATCTCTGTGCCGCCCCTAAAGGCAGCGCAGAAAGCGTTCGGGAGGAAAAGAACCGAACTAACCCTAAATCGACGCTCTGTAGCCTAGGTGCTTGCTTAGGCCTGTAGTGTGAGTGATGTCTCTGTCTTTGAGCGGCATAGCTGCAAAAGAATAATTTACCCAAATGGGTACATCTATGAAATGACATTTGCACACAGTGAAATTATGTGTGGAAGGATGAGCTTTACTTTGCTAAAGTTGCTGCTCTGTGAATTAAGGAAGTGCACCTATGTGATCAGTCAAGGTAATGTTTAAGTGTGAATAATTAAAGTAAAGAAATGAGTTTGAAAGTGAGTTATAAATGGTTTTGGACCATATGAAGCTTCAGTTGATGTGATTTGGAATACTCGTTACCGCCTTGCCTGAAAATTTTAGGTGCTTGATGCAACAGTAAAGTTTTATGTTGTTATCTGAACTTGCTGGATTTTTGTATACTTATGTAATTTAAGTGGGCAAAAATGTACTGCTTTGTAGGCCCAGAGCAGAAGTCATGAAGTCTTACCAAAACCAGCAGTGTCAGGGACTCGACAGGCTTTCAGAGACCTCTAGTTTCTAGGAAGTTAGTGGGGTGTTTTTGCTTAATAAATTTGGCAGGAGATACCAAGAAATTTTTTTATCACAACCCTATACATGGTTAGAAAGAAAACAGGTGTTCTGTTATAGCTGACAGTTCAAATCTCTCTTCCCAACTTACTGTCTGGGAGCTGGGCAGGAATGGATGGTTCTGTATCTGTAAGTTTGAACTGCAGTATGGTTTAGTTGCCTGTTTTTTTGAAGTGTGAAGGAGAGCTGTGGTATTTGAATTCAGGGAATTGTGGTTAAGAGTGCATGAAGCCACTAGTTCTCAACAGTATGTCTGTTGTACTTTTTTTCCTCTTTTTCTTTTTCTCCCCACTATTTTTATTGGAAAAGCTGCAGAGTTTTGGATAGGGAAGGGCTGCAGCTGACCTGTGTGGGTAAAAGTGATGAGCTGCCCAGTACTATCTTAATAATAACTTTCTTTCTGTTCCCCACAGAAAAATATACTAGTTGAAAACGATGTAAAGCTGGACAAGGATGGTCTGACTGACCTCTACATCCAACATGCCATCCCCCTGCCCCAGAGGGACTTGCCAAAGAGCAGGTGGGGGAAGATGATGGAAAAGAAGAGACAGCAAAATGAGTTGAAAAGTGAGAATAAAAGGTAATTTAGCTTTTATTGGGCTAGACTTGGAGAATCTGGGACAATGCATTTAGTTTAATCCTGGTTTTGCTGATTAATGAACGTTGTTCAGCTTTTGGGTGTTGTCAGAGTTTAACAGAAAATGCTTTTTTCAGAGTTATATTTTTTCAATTTTCTTCTTTTTTTAATTTTTCTTTTCAATTTTAAAATATTTTCCTTTTTTTCCATTTTTTTTCCTATTTTTGTATTTACAGTGTTTAAGAAAAGTACTAGAAGCTGCTGAATTCTGCTTGCTTCCTGGACAGGGTTGGTGTAGAGTCAGGGCTGTTCTGTGTCTCCAATTAAAAACTAACATCTGCTTTCTGAAACAAACTGTCCTGACCTCCTCTCTGCCCAAGGCTTTGACGTGTGATGTGCATGGGTGACATTCTGATTCAGGCTCAGCAGCAAATCCTAAGGAAAGGTGGATGGAAATTGTCATTATCGTTTTGCAGTGTTACAGCTTGCTGACTTCATGAGTCTGTTTTAGCTTTACTGAGGTTTTTAACTGGCAAGAGCTAAACAAATTCTGTCAAGTGATTTATTCTTTTTTACTTTGTTGTTATTTTAAAGTGGCTGGGACACAGATTTGTCTTGTTATGCCATTTTTTTTTTCTTTTTCCATGTGCTTAGAAGGTTTTAGTACCTTGATTTGTTTACAGCTTGCATGAAATGTTATTTTAAAGTGGGTGGGACACAGATTTGTCTTGTTATGCCATTTTTTTTTTTCTTTTTCCATGTGCTTAAAAGGTTTTAGTACCTTGATTTGTTTACAGCTTGCATGAAAGCACAAGGTCAGTGTTTGAAAACTGAGAAGCTGTTGGTGTGCTGGAATAGGGGCAAAAGATATATTTTTATCAGGCAGATAAAGAGAGCAGGCTGGATGTTTTTGAAAGCAGGAGGCAATGTTAGATTTTAGATGGGAGAATGCCTTCAGCAAAGTTTATATATGGAATAAGTTCAGGGGCTCTTTTGTACACTAAAATTTAGTAGTGGTTAAAGCTGTGTAGTATTTGCAGGGAAAATAATAAGCAAAAGAGATGTTTTTAACCTCACAGTCTGTTTCTTTACCAGTTGCACTGAACACTTGACCTCTAGCAAACTAGGCTTACTCTTCTGCTCTTGGTTAGACATTTTAAAGATTTTCCAGCACTTGTTGTTTTCACTGGTATCACATCTTCCATAGTTAACAAATATGCAGGCAAAATAACATCTAGAAAAGTTAATCTTACTGGTATTACTAACCCCAGTCACCTTTTTGGATGTTAAAATATTACACTTCTCCTCATAGTAGTGTGCACAACTCAAGCAGAGCTGGCATGATGCCATGGTGCAGAGGAGGAAGTAAAAGCTGGTGTTCTTGTTTTAAAAAACAAAAAATTCCTAGTGTTGTGAGGCTGTGAGCTCCATGCAAGTCAGAGATGGGAGCTGCACATGCTCTTGGCTTGACAGCCAGATAAATCACATGAACAGCAGGAGCTTTCTGATGAGCAGGTCTGGGCAGCACAGCTTTACAACATGCACTGGAACTGATGTGAGGCTTGGAGAGCTGATCAGCACAACTCGGTGTGTGTTTGCATGCCTTGGGTGATTACAGACAGGAGGTAAAACCCCAAGGAAATTTTGAAGTCAGTGTTGAGTATAGTGATTAGTTTTACTGCTGCTGATTGATGTCCTAGAGACTTTGTGTATGTCAGCCAAGCTGCAGTAACCTCCTACACCTCAATGATCCAGTCATGTATCTGAGGTCACAGGTGATGGTTTATACATCTTACTGCTGAATCTTTGAGCTTGCAGACAGTCTTAGCAAACAGAAAAAAATGCATTCTGTCCAACTTCAGATGTTGCAGAAAGTATTTGTGTGCAAGGACAGTTAATTTTCTAGATCTATAAGATGATCTTTTCTGCTGGAAGAAAGAGGATGGTATGAACCTCAAAAGGTCTGTGTGGTTTCTGAAATGCCATCTCCCACCTGCCAAGTCTCAGTCTCCAGGTCTGTGGCTGGGCATGCTCAGAGCTGTGGCCCTGGTATAGCTCAGCATTTCTCCTTGGTCACAGGAGAGGCTGCTTCAGCATCTTCTGAGTGCTGCTGATAATACTGGGGTCAGTGTAAAACATGGCACTTCTGACTGGTTTCAGACGTTCACAGAAGAGGTGATCCCCTGCTTGTTAGGCATTATTTAGGATAATCAGGATGTGGGAGCTTAAAACCTATACTTTTCTCTGGTTCTAGAGTGCTGCCTTAAGTACTAGGCTAAGCTGGACAAGAATAGGGGCATTTTTCATTAAAATGTCCTCATAACTGAGAGTTGATCAGAGCCCATTCTGACCACATGAGTAATCTTGTGAAATAGTGAAAACCCAGATTGCTCATGGTTTTGCTTCTTCTGGTAAATCTGAGATTCTTTACCACGTGCCACAAAGTAAACAGCAGGGTTAGAGCATGCCCTCCACTCAGCCTGTCCCAAAACATGGATAGGACATTTCTCTAGGATGTAGGAGATGCACATTAAAATCTGGGTTTTACAGAGAGTGTCCTCAGGAGGGGACATGATCCTAAAATGGTTCTTTTTGGCTGTTAATTAGCATCAGCTGTCCCAAAACATGGATAGGACATTTCTCTAGGATGTAGGAGATGCACATTAAAATCTGGGTTTTTCAGAGAGGGGACATGATCCCAAAATGGTTCTTTTTGGCTGTTAGGTAGCATCAGTGTCCTCCCTCAGAAGAGTGCTGGCTAACATGAGTCCTTCTCTGGAGCTTTTAAGCTGCCTATACTTTATATCAAAAATATTGAATGTCACCCCCAAGGTTCTCTGTTCTTCTGTGAGCCATGAGTCTACCAATTAATGTGGCAGTTCTTGACAATACAGTATCCACATTTCTTTTGGAATTTTCCCAAAGTGTTCCTCTGGGAGTGTTCCCTGTACTGTAGCATGTCTTCACTTGTACAAGTGCTGTGATTCTAAAATTCATTTAGACAAAAAAATCCTCCTAGAACTGCAGTAAGTTCCTGACCTTACCAACCTGAACTTAAACCCCAACCAAAAATCACACACCAAAAAACTCCATAGGAGAAGCAGACTTGCTGTGTTAAGGAAGCTGACTGAAAAAAAGGCATAAAATCTTTTCTTTCACCTAGTTTGTAAACTAGCTCTCCAAAAAGGCTGCTGGGGAATGCACTCCTTGTCAGGAGTGTTGAATAAATTATTGGACAAAGCCAAAGTGAGCAGAAAGTGTCATGGCTTATTTTTGAAGTTTGTGTCAGCTTTTTAGGCTTTTCAAATGAAATGATGCTCCTTGATTTAATGAAGTGTTAAATACTCCTCTTGTTTCAGTAGCATTGAACTGAAACAACATGCTTGGCTGAACACACTAGGTCTTGGAAGCTAATGTCATTTTTTAGAAGCTCTCCTAGAAACCACATCTACTGTAGATGCAAGCCAAAGAGTTGTGTCTGATCTCCTGACAAATAAGTCCCCAAATGAACTGAAGATCTCTATTTGTCTCAGTCAGTTCTGGGAATCTGATGAGTAGAGTAAGAGGAGATGTGACATGTTTTTGTGAACAAATAGTGTAGAAGCAAATCTGAATAAGAACTGAACTTTCTCTTGCTCTATGAGCTCTTAAATTGTGGGTCCTTTCTTTTTTTTTTTAAAGAAATTTCTGGTCTTGACAGAAATCTTGTAAGCAATGTGTAATTTCTTAATATGTGAAGTTTATCAGGAGCTACTAATCTGATGTGTTCCGAGTCAAATGAGTCGAGCCTCTGAGGCTTATTTTGAAGTCTGTTGAGATACCCAACATCAATATTGTCAAATCCATTAATTGGAAACTAATTGATACAATTTAACTGGTGAAAACACTGTAGTTCAACTTTTATTCCTCTGTTTAACCATGTTTAAACAGTGCGTACTGAAAACTGAAGTTTCTAAATGGGAATTTTATATAACTTAATTGTGGTTTGTTTTTTTTTTTTCTAAATCTGTACTTTCAGCACTTTCTTTTTGCCATTCTTGAGCAATGCTTTTTTAAAACTCTCAAGTCATGTAGAGTGAGATGTGATAACTTTGTGCTTGACTTTTTGGCAGTCAGGATGTTTTCTGATACTACTGTTTTGATATTAGCTTGATAGTATTCCCTTTTCATGAGTTGTTACTGAATTGGTCAGCTCTGACTATACGTAGGGTAAAGGCACAAATTATTAACAAGTCATTAGATCAGCTTAGGATTCCTGTTCAAAGACAGCTTTTTCCAAAAACAGAGATGGATTTTTTGCTTAACGTTTTTGTTCCTTGTCTGATAGTCTTTGAGACTATCTTAACATGTTTAGGAATAATAGTGGAAACGGGGAGATTTAGAAGCATAGAATATTAGATGCTGTTCTTGCAGGTCATGTGGCACACACTTTCTCAAATATTCACCTTCAGAAATACTTAAGTTATCATCTTTTTAGGTACTTTAGGATAACTACAGTGATATAAGCATACAGCCTTTGTAAACTGTAACTGTCTACCTAGAAAGTTCCTCTCACAACCCTCTTTGAGGAACAGTGTTTCTCACACAACTCTCTGCCCCCCTTTATATTTTGGGAGCAATTTCCCTTGCCTGAGTTTGGAGCAGTTAAGAGCTTAAGGCTGCTATTTTGGGATATATATTTTTACTTTAGACAAGATTAGTTTTCACTACTCATGTGTTTTGGAGGATGTAGGTTGTGTTTCAGAGACTTTCACAATCTGTATTTTCAGTGTTACGACGGTGGAAGGCTTGAGGAAAAGGCCTTTGATTGTGTTTGATGGCAACTCAACAAGTACAAGCATCAAGGTGAAGAAGACAGAGAACGGGGCTGCTGAGCGCCTGAAGCCTCCTCCAGCTGGCAGCACCACCAACACTGTGAGGAGGTTATCAGCTCCTTCACATGCCTCCACCTACATCTCAGCCTCCAGTTTCTCAGAGGACGCTAAGCTGGGAGTGAGGAATAAGGAGGCTAAGCAGAACAATGTTGCAAAGACTAACAGCAGTGTGTTGGCTGGGCTGAAGGCCTACCCCGTGTCTCCAGTAGCAGGAACTACTGCTGTGAAGTTAAAGAGAGCTGGTCCAAAAGAAGAGTCTGATTTGCCGGTATGTCCACTGTTTGTAGCTTTATTTTTAACTGAAACTTGCAGGAGTTAAAACATAGACTCTTGTAAGAGTTTTGAGGGTTACTTTAGTTTGCTGTGATAGTGGAGTCTTCATTTAGAAACAGGCAAAAGAATAGCTTGTTTGGGAAAGATTAGAGGGAAAGAAATGAAGCACTTTGGCCTTGTCTGTGGGAAGCTTCTGTGTGAGAGAGGCAGCTTTGTAGAAAACCAACATAGAATTTTAAAATGAATAAGTGGGTAACACTTAAGGTCTTCCTAGCAGCAATCAAATAAAACAAAATAATTCTACTGGTGGGTCAGGGAGAACAGGTATTAGAGAACAACACGAACAGCCTTAAAGGGAGGACAAGTGGTCTGTTATCTCTAGTAAGGGAAAAAAAATGGAATGATAACATTTGTAACAGTCACACTTGAATGGTTGAGTAGGACAAGCTTTCATTTGTCAAACTGAGGGAGGAGATGTTACAGGAACTGAGAGCTGTAGAATAGATCCTGGGAGGAAGAGCACCATCTGTTCTAAATATCACATAGGAATTGGGCTGCTCAAGGAAGGAGCTGGTTGTGAAAATCTGGAGAGCTGCCTCGACGGTGGGTCTGAATGAGAAGCCATAACAACAGACCATGCTAGTTGAAGTGGGAGGACAAAGGTCCAGTGCTAGTTTTGAGCCATGGGGATCTTACCCAGATCTTTGGTATCTAGGCTTCTGTAAGATGATGGGAAACACATGCTGAGGTCTGGAACAGAAGGGTGCTGTTCTCAAGTAGAAGAGTGATGACCAAGCTGTTAACCATAAAGGTAAATGGTTACATTCTCTCTGCAAGGGAGATTTACCTGCAAACAAATTCTCTGTAGAGAAGAGCTACACTACAAATGGGGGCAGGATAAGGGTGATGAGCTGAAGAGATGGGAGAAGAGCTAAGGCAGGATGTCTGTATTCAGCAGGGTGTGTGATTAGTTATCAACAGGTATGATGAGTATTCAAAGGCTTGTCAGGGAGCCAGGAGCAATGGGCCATCTCTTTAAAACATGCTGCAAGGTAGGGATGAGTCTTCCATTTCTGTTGTATTCCTTCATTATACAAATGAAGGAATTAGGACATTTCCACTGGAATAGAGGAATGTCTGGAGTAAGTCTGGGCTTCAGAGGAAGACACAGAAATACCTGCTCTCAGCTGAACAACACGAGGAGCTTTAGAAGTGCAGTGAGCAGGTACACTGATGATGTTTTTTCCAGGAAACCAGATGTAATTTCTGTTTCCTCAGTATTGCCTCATAAAATGCTTTCTATTAATCTATTTAAAAAAAAAAAAATACTTCATGAAAGACTGCAGGAGATATCTGTGCTGTGTGGATTGGTAGGTTCCATCAGAGTCCTGCTAAACACATGGCTGTTCTGAATGACAGCTTCAGTATCTTCTCCAAGAATCAGGGCTGAGGCCCTGAATCAAATTGATGCTGGAAAGGTATGTTCCTTACTACTGGTATTACTAACTGATTTTTAGAACTCTTACAATTATTGGTCAAATCTGAACCTACAGAGTTTTTGAAACTTGTTTATATACACCTCACAGCTTCATTATATTTAGTTTAAATATTTTGTAGACACAGTGCTGAACTCTTAAGTGAGGCTGTATAATTGACACTCAGAAGCTAAAACCTCTGACTTTCTTAATTTTCCTACCATGGTTTCTGTCGTTCAGGTCAACGTTTTTACTATTTCACAAAAGTAAATTGGTTTCCTAGTTGTGTATTTTTATTCCCTTACACAATCCCATTTTAACCAGTATTTGAAGAAGGTAATCTGAAATAACTTTTGAAATATTTTTTGAGACTCAAAAAGGTAGCTGTTTCTAAGCTGCATATCTGAAGGGCATTTTTGCATAACTAACTGTAGGATTAAGAAAAACCAAAAGACATTTATGATTTACAGGTAACTAAATTAATTTGCTGTATTTTTATCTCGTTCAGAGGTGGTCTGTGATACTTGACTTTCTCCACAAGATGGCAATAGAAAGCTGTTGTATTTTATAGCTAAATACAGCAATCCTCAGTACCAGATTTCTGTCTGACAGGTTAATTACTAAGTTCTACTTCTGCAGCATGTCTAAGCATCTTTTTATATAATTTTTTGTATTCCAGAATGACCTAAAGCCTACGGAAGCAAAGAAGAAAATCCAGCATGTTACATGGCCATGAAGTAGCTAATGGTGCTTGAAACAGAAATGTTGCTTCCATATTTTCAAACAGATAAGTCATATTTAAACGGTTTAAGTACAATTCTTTTTAAACCTTACAGGGATTCAAGTTGCTGTGAAGTTTTAACAAGTTTAAAGGTTCCCTGTTGTAAATCTGGAGTCATAATCACCAGTCACCTTAAGAGTGTCTTGTACACCAGGTAGTTCATTCCTTCTTTGAAAGGTGGCAATATTACAACATACTAACACCCCCTTCCCTTTTAGATTTCAGGATTATTATAGTTCATCTCCTGCATGTCACTACAATTCACACACATTTTTTTTTGTTGTTTTGGTAAGATTCAGTTTTGTTCCACTTCTGGTTAAATACTTAAAATAGCTATTGACATTCAGAGTGATCCCAAGATTCTTCTTGGCTTTAAAAAGCTAAATTCTTTTAGATAAGAAAACTGACCATTCTGCTGGTAGGATAGTCTGAGACAAATTTTTTTTCATTTTTTGTTGCACAGAAGAGGAGTGTGGAATTTACAGTGCGAGTCAGCTTGGTAATAAGAGATGAACTATTTTAACAGCATTACTTCAAATTGAAGTTTCTCTTATTGGTGTGTGAAATAAGAAACGCACAGATGGAAGGGTGTTCTTAGGCTGATATGAATTGTTGAGAGGAGGTAGTGAGTGGATTAGTGCCATGTTCTCTTAAATACACAGGCATATTTTATACATGCCTAGGTGCAAAAATGTGCCCATGGAGCAGATTTGCTCGTTTTCCTGGTTACAATCATGCTTATAAAATCTGGGGAAAACCTGTGGAACGCAGGCCAGTGCTTTCTCAACTTACCAAAAGTTGGAGAGGGACAGGGGTAGGAAGACAAAGAAGTAGCTTGAGAGCATTAGCATATGTAGTTGCACTCTCAAAAAACCAAAACAAAACCAACCTGTTTTCCATTCCTTTGATAATTTAAGATAGATGTTGATTTTCTGTGAAACTTGGCGTTGCCTCTGGATTATTGGAAGTGCCTTATAAGGCAGAAATCCAGTTAAGCTGATGGAAACATTTTTATTAAATCTGAGTGGCTCAGAGTGAAGCCAATTTAGATCCGTTTTCAAGACGGATGGTAAATAATAATAAACACAAACCCCATGAACTTCTGAATCCACTTAGTTAACCCACTAAAAGAAGCTGTCAGTAGTGCTCTGAAAGCCTGTTTACATTTTTAGCATTGGTTAATAGTGAAACCAAAACCCATAGCTTAATTCATGACTGACAGAAGTCCTCCATTCACTGTTGTGACATAAAGGCACCTCTCGAATGCTGTAAAATGGTAAGAACGTGTGTTTTGAAATCTTGTGTGCTGTTTCCCTTTTACTAAACACTTGTGCAGTTTTTGTACTTGAGTACAGCAAACTTTAACGTAATGTACATTTTGTATGTAAAGAGTTGTCTTTTAAGTAGCCTTATCCTATTTAAATAAATTCAGTTAAAAGCAAACACTGTAGTGCTGCCTTTTTTGTGGTGTAATTAAGCTTGTCCTTTTCATATGGTTGTCTTTCAGTGTTGTTGAAGTGATTAGAACTTCAGGAGAAGCTTACAGAGTAAAAGGCTGAGTAGCTATTTTGGAGTTTTAGCAGGAGTTAGTATCACATGGCAGGCTGGTCCTTGCAGTAGTGTCATAGCCTGGTAGGAGCTCTGTTTTGTGGGTGGCTTCTTGGCAGTGGTTTAGGGCCTAGGCTGTATTTTGTTGTAGTTGCAGTTGCTAGGAGGATGTGTGTGTGGGTATGTGTGGAGGAGATCTGTACTGGAGCAATAGCATGGTGCTGCTCTTGCATGGTGACAGCCTTGTGCCACAGTTTGGGATCAGGGCAGCCCCCAGACAGGTAAGAGATGCTCCCTGTTAACCCCCTGCCACCCCTGGCCCCTCAAAGGGAATTAACCCTCTTTCTTCCCAAAGGGGAAGAGAAATGGAATAAGGGAGAGAGACTTATTGATTAGAAAAGTGAAACAGCTTTAATACTACCACTTATAGTAATAATGAGAATAAAATAGAATATGTGCAAATATATACAAAATCATTATTGAACCCAGCTGCCCCCCTTCCCAGTAGCAGTAGGTCACCCCTGATGCTGTGGGGCAGCCCCTGGGGAAAAGTCCTGGGCTGGACTCAGCCACAGGTGGCAACAGGGGACAGGGACTGGGTTCTGGAACTCGGTTCAGGAGCACACAGCTCGGGATCAAAGGCAGAATGGATGGAGTCCTGGGATTCTGGCTGTTGCAGGAGCAGCAGGAGCCAGGAAGGAGATGGAAGGGGTGATGGAAGGGGGTGCCCCTCCTAATCCTTCAGCTTTTATACTGAACATGAGGGATACAGGGTGGAATACCCCATTGTGAATCTTGGGGTCACTGATCTTGTCGCCTTCCTGCAGGTACCGCTTTGCTTTCTGCCCCCCTCCGTGTGGGACACAAGCTTGGCAGTGCAACCTTGGTCTGCACACCAATCCCTGGCAGTAACTCCAAACATGGAGTGTTATCACTGCTAGAAGCAGACAGTCTGTGAAAATATGCTGTTAGCTTCTGAGGGAGCAGGTAATTAGAAGAGCTTTAGCTGAAAAGTGAAGTCACTGAGCAGAACCAACTGTTCTACCCCAAACCAGGACACCCTGTTTTCACAGCGGTATGTTTCCAGCCTTGTACTTCATCTGCCTTTCCCCAAAGCTGGGATCATTTTGCTGTCTCTTGTATAGTGCTTGAGGGGCAAGGTATGAGCTATGCTGCTCTTACTACCTTCCATTACCCTCTTAGCCAATACTAATCCTTCTTTGCTCAGCAAAGTCCTAGAACAGAGCTTCAGTGTGCTGGGAGACTGCCAGATTCCAGAGGAGAGGGTAAGGGAGGTGCTTGTCCTCCATTGGGAGGTGTGGATCTAAGAGGGATTTTTATGGCTATTCTTTACTACAACCTTCATCATAGAATAAAATCACCAAATGATAGAATTTAGTCGTTCACTGAGGTCAGATTAGCACAATGTGCACTTCAAAAATGCCAGCCTGCCAGGTTCTTCAAATGGTGTACAGCAAACCAAAATTCATCTGATGCATCTATTTAGCTTCTTGAATTAGAAGGGAATGGCCTGCGAGCACTTTACACTTGGTGCAAAAAGAGACAAATCCAAGAGTGGTGGCAGGAACTCCAAGCACACTTTCCCAACCCAGTTGCATACAGAGTAAGTATATTCCTAAGTCTTGTTTTCACATTTGAAAACTTCTGTTGGAAGTGTGGCATATTACTTATCTCCTGCTAAATACAAATGAATTCTATCTACAAGGTGTAGCAGCAGAGTACGTGCCATGACGTGGCCATATTTCTTGGAGTTTGTTTTGAGAAGAGAGTTACCTTCCTTTGGATTGTTTCCTTTTGATTTTATTGTCCTGCCACCATGCTGTTGCTGACAGTTGCCTTGGCAGCAAACAGGTAGCAGAAATTGTTCTAGAGCAAAGGGTATTACAGGAAAAAAATTGAAGCATGCCCTAGTATAGAAATGAAACTTCTGACTTCTGCGAAGGTTGAGTTGTCTCGACTTCCTTGCTTGCATGAGAACAGCAGTACTTTGATTTTGACTCTAGAGCCTATGAACACAGTTTTGTTTTATTGCAGTTGGTTCAGTATTTTCACACAGTTGTTCAGTTTTGGTGATGATTTTCACACTGATTTCAGTTAGTAGAAGACTATGTTGTATCAGCAGTGCCTGTCTGAGGATTGTCTAAACTCCAGTTTCAGGAGGAGTAGGTGCAAAAATGGGTTGGGTTCATATGGCTCTTACCTTGCATTTCTTCAGACTGTGAAAGCATTAAATATCTAATATGTTAATACAATTAAACCACAATCACAGTTTTGTTTTAAATGGGTTTATTTTGAAAAATACAATGTGCAGTGTAATGTCGACTAACTGTAATACGGACACCGTCAACCAGAACTTGTACTTCACACAACGATCAGCTAGTCATGCAAGAAAATAGGTACCTGTTATGAAGCACTTCCACTTCAACTGTTTTATCATTATCTCTTTATGGCGTGGCACAGATCCTTGTACACTGAAACACCTTCTACACTCCCAGTCTTTCTACACACTTGACAGCACACACTAGTCACCTAGCTCAAGAACACTGAGGCAAGACCACAGCCTTGCTGAAATTGAATAGTGCTTGCCATGGATTTTCCATCTGATTATCCATCTGTGAATGTATCGTGCGTGGCCATTGTAATCCTTGAACCCTATCACTTGCTTGTAACTGGAGTATTTAGTGGCAGAAAACCAAAAACCAAACCAACAATAGGAGTATGTTATGTCTGTAACGCCCAAATGGTTTTACATCTCAGGTTTTGCATTAGTTTTAGTTAGCTGTAGAAATCTTAAACACCAGCACTGCTACTAGAGATTTTGAAGTTGTTTTCCCTTCAGATTTGGAGAGCTTAAAGTAAAAGGTTAAGTAATGTTAATAGTACAGCGAAACACAGAGTGGCAAAGCTAGTCCCAAACATCCGTGTATGTCAGACTATATATTGCAAGCACGGCTTTCTTCCTCTCTCCCCACCTCTTATTTTGAGCTTTAAATATCCTTCCCACATTCAGGACAAAGGATGTCATCCCTTTCCGTGAGGAAGCCACGACCCACTAATGAGAGAGAGCACTTCTTACAGTTAAAGCAATCGTTATGCCACTGCCGCTCTTCAAAGGAGATGTACTTGGTTCCTCCGAGCCCTGTTTGGAAACCAAAAGCATTCTGTTACAGGGAAAGAATAACACATCAGCCATCAAGTGATGCTATTTCAGACTCCCCTGGTGGATTGCTGTGGAGATCTGACATATAGTAGTGAAAAAATGACATTGAGACATGACATCTATTAGTTGCTGTGCTAATTTTTCCACTCTTGCTCTGTAGCAAGTAATATTTTCATCCTCAGATAGTTCTACTGTGTTCATGTAAATTAGTGAACGAGACCATTATCACTGGTGATAATGGCAGAAATGAACTTTCAGGGGCTGCCACTTTGACAGGGAGAAGGAGAGAAAAGCAACTGCCCTGAAGAGAAGCCTGATTTTTTTACAGAATTTTTTAACAATTTTTTACAGAATGATTTGTCGTGTCTGAATAAATTAATTTTGTTTTGTAAAAATGCATTTAGGCTGTTAAAAAAGAAGTCAGACAGCTTCTGTCATGACTTGATTCATAACTTTGAAGGAAAAGTGCTTCAAGAAAAGGAGCAGGTTAGCAAACTGCAAAAAGCACCCAAGAGTTGCAGGCTATGGAGGGTATCAAAAAG